CTGGTTGGATGGGCCATCTTTGGTGGCCAGGCTAGAAATCTGCTCACCTACTGCCTGGGGCTCTCTGAAACAGCCAGTCCAGTCACTGCACAAGGGCTGAGGGCATTCCCACAGGGTGGCAGGTGGGATACAGGGCTGCCTTGTTGGCCTGCCTGCAGTCCAGGGAGGAAAAAGTGAGGCCCCTGCAGCACAGTGTGGGACATTGTGTGATAAAGAAATGCACACACAGGGTGACCCGGGCACCTCGCAGGGGCCACACCCCAGGCTGGCATCTTAAAACAAATGCCTTCTGCTGGTACTGGGAGCAGTGCATGCAAAATAGCTAACAGCTATCTAGGTAGAGGAAAGCCAGGAGAGCCCTGGGGCCACCCGAAGCCTGTGACCAGGAGTGAGGCTGTCTGGCAGACAGCATGTAGAGAGCAGAGGAAGAGGACAAACAGGACCATGCTGGGAAGGGCTATATATGTTGGAGTGGACTGGGTCTGATGGTCGTGGGGAGCCCACAGGGGACCGGTCAATCATGGGAGGTGATGCGGAATGCTCTAGTAGTTTCAGCAACACCAGGATGGTGCTGGCCTGGGAACCAGGGCATCACAGGGGCCTGAAGCGTTGGGCTGCCATCAAAAGAGAACAAAGAAACTGACTCATCTTCCTGTCCAAGACAAGTACAAATGCAGGACGAAATGGGAAAGGGGACCCATTAGACACAGAGGAAGCCCACCTGTGTACAGTCACCCTACCTACCACGGGACAACAGGGCAGCACAGACAAGAAATGGTCCCTTCAATGAATGGTGCCTAGTCAATCAGACAATGACATGGTGGGGAAAAGACCCTGACCCCTACCTCATGCCATATATATAGTCAATGGCAAATCATTGGAAAAGGTAAAACAAATGAACAGAAATGTTAGGCAGAAAACATGGAATGTTTCTATGACCTTGGAGTAGGCAGAGATTTTGTAAACAGACTGATAAAAGCACTTGCAATGAAAGAAAACTGTAATAACGTGGACATATTAAAAGATTCATAGAAGGGTATAAGAGGCCAAAGAGACAACTGGAAGGGAACATGACAGGAGTTTCTGGGGAGCTGATGTCCAGTGGCTGGCAATTTGTGAAATTTTGTCAGGTTTTGCATTTATGACATATATACTTTTGTATGTATATTATGCTCCTATGAAGTTATTTTAGGTGTCAAATATGTAACCTTGAATAGTAAGAAATTAGCGGCCTAAGGGCCAGGAGAAGGCAGAACCCTGAGCCCAAGAGCTGAATCAGCTTTCATCCTGAACTGGGCCACAGTGCATACACTTCCGGCAGCCTCGCCATCTCCAGGAAACCTCCCCCTGGTTTAGGCCGGAGCTCTGAGGAGTAAAGGAAAACCAGAAGTAGACCAGCCCTTGTATACAAGTGCAGGCTAGAAAAATCTCAAGATCTGGGAACAGATTATGGTGATCCCAATTGCTCGTTTTCCCACATACCTGGAAAAGGCAGGCAAATCCCCCTTTGAAGGGTGATAACCATATTCAAGGTCAAAAAATGTTTCTACAAATAATTTTCCAAACACAGCATCCAGCACAGAATCAAAGGATAACCTGTCACATGAGCTGGTGACACAATGAGTGATTGTCAGCAAAACTCGCAGAAACAAGTCCACAGGGACTCTGATACTGGAATTATGAGACACAGACTGTGGAAAAGAAATATGCTTACTTAGGTTTACAAAGCCAAAATGCGAGTCTGAATGTCTCAGCGGGGAACTGGAAACTATACAGATCATATAATATCCTTTGGAAAGAATCCCATAGCAACTGTAGAGTGGAAAGACCTGTGAGGAATCGCAGTGAATACAAGCATTTCCCTCTGCAGCCCCTCAGAACCCCACTAAAATGACAGTGAATGAATGTTACAACACATCAACACAGGGATGCTCCCGACAACATGGAAGCCAGGAGCTGAGCATGGCAGCAAAAGTTTGTAGACTAAGAAGCAGATGCATGAATACTTAGGTCTTAGAAGCAAGTAGAATCCTAAATGAGTAGAGAACTCTGAGAACCAACTCAGGACGTACTAGTATCAGGTGTCTTGAAAAGTGCAGCTTAAAAATGGGAAGATAGATTGATAATTTACAGTAAGAGTACTTTAGAACCCACCAGGCCTTTGTCCAATAGCTTGTACCCAGGCAAATGCCCCCACCCTTTACCAAGGCAGAAATCTGCAGGTGTGTTCCCCAGGAAAGACAAAGCACTGTGTGTCCAGACAGAAGGACAGCAAGCACAGCCTGGGTGAAGGTGAGGTTTCCCTGAGTGAAATCCCCATCTACACACACATTTACCTTCCTATTGTCGGTATTCCACACTGACCATGATGACCCTCCAGGAAGGGGGATGGAACCAACCCAAGAGGAAACTCAAAGTTACTGACCTGGGGTTCCCCAAGAAATAATGGAGCCAGGTCACTCTACAATGAGGGGCCCATGCAGATTAGCCCCCACCAAGGAACTGAGCTTCCAACATGACAGGTCAGGTCCTCCTTTTAAGTATCAGCAGACAGCCTGGGATCACAGGACATCTGAGGAAGGCCTCTCACAACCACAGAGGTAAAGATAAAAACAAACAGGAATAAAACATTGTAAAGAGAGGTGAAAACTTCAAACTCCACCACTCTTCCAGGCACCTGGCTGGCTCTATTGGTAGAGTTTATGACTCCTGATCTCAGGGTCATGAGTTTGAGTCCCACATTGGACATTGAGATTACTTTTTTAATTAAAAAAAAAAAGATTGAAAAAAGTTAAAGAAAAAAAAAGCCTGCCACAATACCCAGAGAGAGAAAATACTCTCTCCAAAAAGTGGGATAGGATGTTGAATCAAAAGAACATTCAGGGAAGGTGGGGGAAACTGCTAGAAAATAAAGGTAGAATAGAAGAAACCAAACTCCTGGCACAAAGGTTGTCTGAGACAAGGCAGAGATGGAAAAGAGGAAAAGAATGGAGAATACAAAGGATCTGTCCAAGAGACAATGACAGACATGATGTAGAGGAAGTCAGCTAAGAAGGCAGGAAGGTACCCAGAATCACAAGGTTCAGACCGAACAGACCATATGCACTGGCGCATGAGAGAGGAGACCCACGTCAAGACCCATCACCCTGAAATTCACAGCCTACAACACAGGGAAGCCGTCCACTCTGTGGGTTTCATGCAGAGGATCTGGGATCCAAATGGTTCCCAAGAACAACAATGGAAGCTGGAAGAAAAATGGAGCTGTGCATTCAGAGTTCTAAAGGGAAATGAGTTTCTAAGCCAAGACTTTTATACCCAGCTAAACCATCTTGCCGACTTTTTAGGTAGAAAAGCTGCGTTTTGGGACATGCATATTTCCCCAAATCTGCCAGACAGCTTCTGAAAAAGATGTCCCCGAGAAGCTGAAATCTTAAAATAATATGTGGTGTGTTTAAACATCTCAAAGACAATTCGGGCAAAGCCTGAGCCTGAATCCATAACAGGTACATTAAAAACAGCAACCACAAAGTTTTGTAGGAAAAGAAAAGGAGTGATCATGGGGCTCAGCTGGGTATGCCATCTAACACAATGCCAATACTGCCAGCACTCACTATTGATCTAACTGGAGTATGCTTCAGTTTTTAGGGTGGAGGGGGCTGGGCAGGTGTGCATTGGAGTGGCGGGGTGATGATAAAAGAGCTGACTTCCTGCCCTCCATGGGGACAGGGGAGACATTGCTGGGCCCCTCAACACTCAAGATGCAGCAAGTCAAACATTCTCTTGAGATGCAAGAGGGCCAGGTGTTGCTCTGGCTGGTCAGGAGGTGCCGTATGGGCCTGGGTGTTGGAGCAAGTCTCAGGTACTCTTGGACTCCTTAAAGTACATGCATATATAACTTTTATAAAAGTAAACCTAAAGACATTGAAAAGGTCTCCTCTGGAAAAGACAAGAGCACAGACATAAGACAGAAATTAACTGTGGGGTGGGGTGCAGTCATTGCAGATGCCCTGGGAAAGAGCCAATAGCCAGTAGGAGAGAAGTGTGGAAGACACAGCAGGGAGGGGACAGGGTGGGGGCAGTGTCTGGATGCACAGCCCACCTCACACTGACCAGTAGGGGAATAATGAGACTCGCATATGCAGCTGCAGATATTCTTGTAACTGCATTTAAAAAGGAAGCAGCTAGCATTCATTTTAATGTTGAATTTTATTGTGGCCGATATATCAACCAATGTGTTATTGCAATGACAGTCACAATAGTAAAACAGCGAATGAAATGTTATAGTCCTCCTCTTGTGTGAGGTCTGGGGGGTCTGCGCCAGCCAGCAGACAGCCCACGGCCCCCTGCACCAGCCCCATCTCTAGGGCTTGTGGGTGGCAGGTGTGCACCCCAGCGGTCAATGCAACATTAACCTGATTGAGTCACACACCCCTTAGCCCCCAACCCTGTCCCTTCCCTCAAAGAGAGAAAGGAAGAAATGCATTCCTCAGTCAGGCCCTGTGGCTGTTGACCCTCAGGACCCAAGGTCCCCCAGCCTGGTGCTGCACCACCTCTTCCAATTCCCTTACATACCCGTGAAGCCAGCTTCCGGGGGGGGGGGGGCAGCCACCCCCATCACCTGGCCACCATGCACAGGTCCTCTGGGCTACTCCCTCCTGCATGCCTGAAACGCATCATCACCTCACAGTCCCTTCCCTTCCTTCGCTTGGTCCTAGAGGATGTAGAAATAGACCTGACCCCAGCCGAGGAGACCTCTCTCCTCCCAGGCCCTGCCCTCCGTGGACCTTGGGTCGGCCAGGATGCCCCCTGCAGTGCACGGAAGAGGCAGCGCCGGTGACCCACGTGAGAAGGGATAGGTCTTACTGGGTCAGCCAGCACAACAGGAGGAGGGGAGCCGCCGGCCAGGACCTCACCCCGGGGAAGACGGACCGCACAGGCGAGCCAACCCGGGCAGGGGGTGCCGAGGGCCAGCCCTGACGCCCCGGGGTGCGTTCCTGCAGGCCATCGCCAGCCACATGCATCTCAAGTGCAAGTGCCACGGGCTGTCGGGCAGTTGCGAGGTGAAGACCTGCTGGTGGTCGCAGCCCGACTTCCGCTCCATCGGTGACTTCCTCAAGGACAAGTACGACAGCGCCTCCGAGATGGTGGTGGAGAAGCACCGCGAGTCGCGCGGCTGGGTGGAGACGCTGCGGCCCCGCTACAGCTACTTCAAGGTGCCCACGGAGCGCGACCTTGTGTACTACGAGGCCTCGCCCAACTTCTGCGAGCCCAACCCCGAGACCGGCTCGTTCGGCACCCGCGACCGCACGTGCAACGTGAGCTCGCACGGCATCGACGGCTGCGACCTGCTGTGCTGTGGCCGCGGCCACAACGCGCGCACCGAGCAGCGCCGAGAGAAGTGCCACTGCGTCTTCCACTGGTGCTGCTACGTGAGCTGCCAGGAGTGCGCGCGCGTCTACGACGTGCACACCTGCAAGTAGCGCTACCCCGCCGGCGAGCGGCTGGGCTGGGGGCCGGGCTCCTCCCTGGATTGGCGGGGCGGGGCTCCTGGATGGGGGCGGGGCTCCTCCCTGATGGGGCGGGGGCGGGGTTCCTGGATGGGGGCGGGGCTCCTCACTGGACGGGGCTTCTCACTGGACGGGGGGGCGGAGGCTCCTCCCTGATGGGTCAGGGGCGGGGCTCTGGATGGATGCAGGCTCCTCCCTGGATGAGGGCGGGGGCTCCTCCCTGGTAGGGCGGGGGCGAAGCTCTTGGATGCCGGCGGGCTCCTCCCCGGATGGGGGCGGGGGCTCCTACCTGGTGGGGCGGGGATGGGGCTCCTCCCGACGGGGGGCTAGGGTCTTCCCCGGGGGAGGGCTCCTCCCGAGAAGAAGGGGGACGGGGCTCCACCCCGATAGGGCAGGGTCCCCAACTGGGGCTCCCAGTTGCGGGCGGGGTCCGCCTGACGAGTGCTGGTTTCCTCCCTGGATCGGGCGGGGCTCCTCTCTGGGGGCGGGCTCCTGAATGGGGGTGGGCTCCTTCCTAGGAGGGCGGAGGCGGGGTCCTCGGACAGATTCTGGTTCCTTCCTTGAATGGGCCGCGGTTTCTTCGTGGGGGCGGGAATTCAGGACGGGGACCCCTGGATGGGGGAGGGTTCCCAGCGACAGTGCTGGGATGAGGCTCCTGAGTGGGGTGGGCTTCCACCCCGCTGCGGGCCTCCTGGGTGGGAGCGGGGCTCCTCCGTGATGGGCGGGGTTCCGTGGGTGGGGTTCCGCGGATGTAGGAGGGAGTTCATCCCTGGGGCGCAACTCCCTGCTGCCATTGCCCCCCCCCCCCATTTCATCTGTGTGAAGCAGTAGCTCCTGCGGAACTAGAAGCGGAGACCCCGAGGGATGGCATCTGGCCCTCCCACCCCTGGTCTGGGCCCCTTGTTCCAGTCTGGTACCCTGGAGCTGTTCAGGGGACTGGAGGCATCTGCCAAAGTTCCCATGCAGGACCCCGGTCTGGGTCGCCTCTGGCCGTGCTGAGCCCCAGGAACCGGTTCTGGCCGGTGAAAGGACGGGGAGCCCAGCAGCAGAGGAGTCTGGACTCTAAAGCCTGGCTGTGCCCTGGCTGCCATGCGCCCTGGCCTCGGCCCCCCAGGCCACCTTCCCAGGGACGGTTCCAGCGTCACTGCCAGACCCCGCTCTTGGCTTGGTCAGGAGGGACCTGTACTTTGCAGCTGCCTGAAAGTCTCAGTGCCTGGCCAGCCCTCCTCTGTCCTCACCTCCCATCCACAGGGGACCAAAGCATCCAGTCCCATCCCCATCCTGACTCCCACTGGGCCTCAGCACCTGTCCCCCCATCTCCCTGGCCCACAGCCCCGTAGGAAGGGGAAGGCAGGAAGGGGGCTCAGGCCCCAAGGCTTCCCAAGCAGCTGGTCGGTGTCACCATCCAGACTCTGCCTTGGAGGCTCACCTTGGCTGGGGTTGGGCAGTGTGGGAGGTTTGAGGAGGGGAAGTTCACCCCCGTGCTGCAGGCAGAGGACCCACAGCCCTCAGGGAGGGGGTCTGTGTCCAGCACCCTGCGGCTAGGACTGACCCCAGGTCCTGCTGCTGTGGCTATGGCGTCCCACACCTGCCTGCCCCCGGCCATTGTCCCAGAGCCTCTCCATCTGCCCCATCCACCCTGCCTGGGAGCCTGAGGCTGCTGGACCCTTGGCCCTTGCCCACGGGGACCTCTCACCCAGTGCTGCCATGCAGAGACCTCTCCCTGCTCAGCCTCTGCCACTGTGAAATGTCCCCCACCCCCGGCCCTGAGGGCCCACAGCCAGGCAGGGGGAGGAGACGGTGCTGCAGGATGACCTGCACACCGGTGGGGACGCAAAGTCCCTCTGCCTTGAGTCTTGCGTTTTTTGTTTTAATTTTATTTGTGATGCTGCTATATCCACCATACACTGGAGCTAGACAAACAGATGTGTTGTTGTTGTTTTCCTTTTCTTTCTATGAAAGAAATTATTTTAGTCATAGCTTGTGAGTTTCAAACAATTTGGGGAAAGTAAAAAACAAACAAAAAGAAGAAACAACCAAACGAGAGTGGATTGTGCTGGATTTTTGGCAGTGCATTGGCAAGGCACAGGGGCCAGATCAGCGGTGGCCCTCTGGGAGAGGAGATGTCCGCGGGCCATGCCAGGAGGGGTGAACGCCAGAGACCAGGAGTCCCGGGTGAGAGGGATGGCCACCAAAGAAAAGAGGCCCTCCTGAGGTGTGGGACAGGATAGACTGTAGACCGAAGGGGTCCAGGGGGATGGAGGCTACGAGGAGATGGGCCGTGCTGAGCACCTGGGCAGCCCCAATTGGCAGACCTCATGCCGATCGGTGGGGCCGGAGTCTTCCCCAAGTCCACTGTAAGCCCCAAACATTCCCAGGTATCCGTAGCATGCTTCCCCAGCGTACATTCCAGGGCTGACTACGTGGCCCCTGTGTGGGATCCCCAGCATGGCCCAGCACAGGGTCTTCCGGGAGACTGGCTTGCCTGGGAGGCACGCACACCCCTCGACCTGAGGCTCGCCAGCCCACACAGAGCCTGGATATCGGGGTGCTGTTCTTGGGCCTGACGTCCCCCTGCCTCCAGTCAAGGCCAGCTTAGCAGTCACAGCTCATGCAGCCAGAGTCCAGCATGAAGGCCACAAGGGACATCTCTTGCTGGCAGAGCTGCTGCGAGAGGCCAAGAGCTCCTTGGGCCAGAAGCCAGAGCACCACAGGATGCCTGGCCTCCGCACTGTGCCAGGGTGGAATAACTGCAGGGTGCAAAGCTTGGCAGGGATGGGCAGCCTCAAAGCTGGGCTGTATCCCAGCACCATGCTCAGGCCCTTGGGATGGGGATGGGGTGGCCCTGCCTTCGGGAGCCTCCTCCCTGCCTTCCCAGGCCTGGTGTCCTGCTGACTGGAGCATCGCCGGCCCTTCTATGGCTATGGCCCACGTCTGGCCTGACTTGGGGCATGTGGGGTATACAGGGCTGCACGCAGCCTTCCCTGCCCAAGCTAGGTGTAGGGCAGGGCTCCTGTCCCTCACCGTGCCCCACATCCATGCCCCACATCTGTGCTCTGCCCTGATACCCAGCCAGACTAACCACCAGGGAAGGAGAGAGCTGAGGAGTCAAGGGTGGGGGACAGGCTGGGATTGGTGGGGATGGGAGGAAGGTGACAGGGAAGCTGAAGACCCAGCCCCTATCCTCTCGGAGGTCAAGCCCAGCACGGCCACCCAGCTGGGGACATTTGCTGGAAGGGAGGGGGCTGGGGGCAGGCAGTGGGGGGGGGGCTTAGCAGAGCAGAGGGAGAGAAGCCCAAAGCAGCCAGGTCAGCAGCTAGAGCGCCAGGGCCCATGGCATCCCCACCACAGCATCCCTGCAGCCAGAAAGTCACAGCTGGCTGGACAGGGACCTTGGCCAGGGGCCGCAGACCCAGAGCAAGAAGGGGACTGGGATGAGGGGGTGCAGACCCAGGGCAGGAAGGGGAGTGGGATGAGGGGGCGCAGACCCAGGGCAGACGTATCCAATCCAGCAGAGCTGTGCACTGGGAGAACCAGGAGAGGGTGTGGGGTGGTAGGCGTTGAAGTACAGGAGGAGCAAACAGAGGTATGGCGTAGGGGGTGGTTGTGGCCTAGTCCCTGCAACAGGATGTCAAGGGGAGCCCAGGCCTCCCCTCCATCCCTTACCAGCCACACTGGTCTTCTTCCCTGGAGTCTCCAAGCTGGAGACAGAGCAGGAGGGGCCCAGTAGGGCAGTGGAACTGGACATGGATGCAGGGCCATGGACTCCCACGACCCCTCCCATCACACCCAGAGTCAGGCTCAGCTCACTGGGCTAGCTGTCCCGCATCCCACCCCAAGGCCAGGGCCTCATGCTGGTTGTTCTCCCACCCTCCCTTTCAGGGTGGGTCACCCCTGCTCTGATGCTGCAGCAGAGCACTGGGGACTCCCAGCTGGGGCCCAGGGGTCAGCTAAACCAGTGGGGCTGTGGGCAGACACTCTATGAAAAAGGAGCCAGTGATCAAGAGCACCAGCCAAGGCCGAGGCAGGGGCAGGGACAGCCAATGTGCTCCACGGGGGTGGGTCCCCTGGGGGAGCTCTGAGTGCAGCCCGCAGCCATCCTGGCTGAGTCTCTGCCCAGGCCCCAGCCCTGGAGATAGGGGGTGACAGGTGCCCTGCCCTGCCACCCTCGGGCCCAGTCCATGGAACACTGCACAGTGCACCACCTCTGAGATAGCGCCCAGGCAGCAGCTGCCCTAATTGGCACCTGTGGGGACCCAGGTGCTGGGGTTGCCACAGATGAAAGGGTTGGAGAGGTGGGTGGGGTAGGAGGCAGATGCACAGGCATGGCCACCAGGTCACAGGGGAGGGCGCTGCCGCAGGGCCTGCCAGAGGAGCTAGGGAGCCAATGGGGCCGCCCTGGGGGGTCAGCCAGGGTGGGCGCAGCCTGCCTGGCCCACATACTGGACTGCAGACCCCCAGCCTCCAGGCTCTGTGCCCAGAGGGCAAGGTGCTGGCCTGAGGACACACAGCATGTCAGGTACCTGGGCAGGCCCCCAGGTGCTGGGCCTGAGGCCCCTCTGCAGGTCTGGGAGCAAGCCCACTGAGGACATGGTCTTCACTCCCTGTGGCTGCAGGACGGAGGGAGCCAGAACTCGGTGCCAAGATGGGGCACAACCCTGGCCAGTGGGCCACGCAGAGCAGGCCTGGTGTGCGGGCGAGGGTGGCTGGAAACAGCTTGAGGGAGCAAGGAACCAAAACCCTTAGCTCTGCTGGCCAGCCTCAGTGTCCCTCCAGGGCAAGAGGAAATGTGCTGAGGGGCCTGTCTGCTCCTGGCCTTTACTGACAGGGGTACTACATGGAAAGCCCCTTCTGCGGCCCGGCCCACTCCCCCCCCCCCACTGCCGATACCCCCCACTCCGAGGGCAGAGCAGGGCAGCCTGGCCCCTGGGCCTCTGCGGGGAGTTTACAGCCCCTCCCGCTGCCCTGGAGAGGGAGGAAATGGGCCCGGTGGGCCTGTTCGCAG